CAGATAAGGGGACAAAGGATCCCCTTGTCTAATTCCCCGGGTTGGACAAACTTGTCCTGCCACCTCCCCGTTCACCAGAATTGAATAGTTCACGGAAGTGACACACAACATTAACAGCTCCACCCAATCCCTCTCGAACCCCAAAGCCCTCAACATCCCTTTTAAAAAGGCTCATTCCATCCTGTCGTAGGCCTTGGCCATATCGAATTTTAAAACCGCCCACCCCTGGCCCCCCCAGTTTTTCGTCGTAAGAAATGACCGATCTCCCCGGCTAGTATAATATTGTCCGTAAGTAAACGGTCAGGCACAAAAGCGCTCTGCGATTGGGATACAATCTGATCCAAACTCCCCTTCAGTCTGTTAGCTAACATTTTGGCCATCACTTTGTAAACCACATTACAAAGTGCGATGGGCCGTAGGTCTGACACCTTCTCTGGTGTGGGTTTCTTTGGGATTAGAACAATATTTGAGTTGTTCAATCCCGCTGGAAAATGCTTTTGTTCCACACAATTGATTACGAGCACGGATAAATCATGTCCTAACACCGGCCAAAAATGTTGAAAGAAGGCCGGTGACATGCCATCTGGGCCGGGCGCTTTATCCGGTGCCATATCAAATATTGCGGCTTTCACATCCACATGAGTGAAGGGCTGTGACAAGGAGATATTCATCTCAGTTGTCACCCGTTCCCGAACCCGATCAAAAATATTGGCACTATGTGTGCTGGAACAAAAGAAATTCTCAAAGTACCTGATAACTTCATCTTTCAAAGCCGCCCCTTCAACCCAGTCACCACCGTGGTCCTTCACCCACAATAGCAAGTTGTGCCGGCGTCGGGCAGTGGCAGTCTGATGGAAATATTTTGTGTTCGCATCCCCGTGTTTTAGCCAGAGTTGCTTGGATCGTTGTTGCCAGAAAATTTCCTCAGATTTCAGAAGTGTCTCTAATTCGCTTTCTGCCTCCATAAAACGTTCAATTGCATGAGGACTTCGGTCCTCTTTCAGTCTGCAAAGAAGCTTTCGAAGGTCCTTTATACGAGCCCCGAACCGTCGGTGATGTTCTCCTCCCCATTTCCAGAGTCGATCTCCACATACAGTTAATCGAGCCTGGAAATCCAGATCAGTAGTCAAACGCCATGCTTCATTAACTACCTTAGCACATCCCTCCTCTAACAGCCAAACATACTCGAATTTAAAAGCCCGGATAGCAGCTCGTATAGGAGCCATTTGTAAGTCCACCAATAGAGCACAATGATCAGATGATAGGGTGTAGATGTTTGTTACCCGTACCGCGTCATGTAATTCCAACCAGTCCGTCGTTGCCACAGCCCTGTCTAAACGTTCCCCCACCCAAGCATCAGTTCCCCGGCCTCTCTCCCATGTAAATCGACCTCTAGTCATCCCCAAGTCGACAAGCTCACAGTCACCCAGTGCATCATTAAAGCCTTCGATAAGTGCCGCCGGGTGAGAACGGGTTCCCCTCTTCTCCGAGAGACATGCTATATCATTGAAGTCTCCCACGACAACCCAGGGGAGTGGTGATCTGTCCCTGAGCTGACGCAGAAGATCCCACGTAACATGTCGTCGTGTCCTGTCTAGCTCCCCGTAGAAACCAGTAAATCGCCACACCGGACGCCCTGGAAGAGTTATCTCCATATCGATGTGATTATTGGAGTAGCTCAACAGGGACGCCCTACTTGAATCCCTCCAGAAGAACGCAAGACCCCCTCCTAGGCCTATGCGGTCTACGCAGAACTTTCCATCAAAACCTAACTTCACTCGTAAACGCTCCATCTTATTGTCAGTCGCCTTCGTCTCCATTAAGAAGACAAAGAGGGGTCGCTGCTTGGACACGATGCCCAAGAGTTCGCGAACTGACCAGGTGCCACCCATACCCCGGCAGTTCCAGCTAAGCAAACTCATTTGGCACGGCGAGCTTGGTCTGCCAGACTCGCCAACTCCATATTGTTTTCGCATTTTTTGCATTTAATGTTGGGTAATATTATCAATGTTTTATCTTTAAGGATCACCTCTAATACTTATTGGATCACCACTTTGGACATAATCCCTACACTTCCGCCGCGGAAGTTCAAACCTTAGTCTCTTCTTTCAAATACTGCCAACTATGGAGCAGGTTCACAATGCACTGTAGACCCTGGTGCATGTGTATGTCTTATGTTTTGAGTTTTTTGTGTCTTGTGTTATGAAACTTTGTACCTTTAAGAGTATTAATTCTGTAACTGAAACAATTTAGTAATTGTGTCTTATGCATGTTATGAATTTTTGTGTTTATGCTGTGAAATTCTGTGACTATGATCACAAATTATGTACCTAAATCAGATTTGAAAAATTAATAAATTTATAACATGTGTATGTATGTTGTGTTGGGATTTTTTGTGTATTATGTTATGAAATTATGTACCTTACAAGTATAAATTCTATAACTCATCGTTTCGATCCAGAGTCCATAATGCTATGTGGACCCTGGTCCATGATATAAATTGGTAAATTATACTGTGGACCACGGTCCACAATGCATTGTGGTCCAGACATCAAATATGCACTGCAGTTTCATCTCAACACAACTACAGTTTCATTTCAATTTACTTATAGTTTCATTTGATAATAATATAATAAAAATAATACGTGAGACAATGTTAGTTTAGATAGGAACGTTATGTTGTGCAACCGTGTGCACTATGCAAGGTGCACACGGTTCTAAATTCATAATTTCTATACTATAGATTCATAATTTCTAAATTGTAGATTCATAATTTAAATACAGTAAATTCATAATTTCTATACTGCAGATTCATAATATCTGTACTGTAGATTCATAATTTCTGTACTGTAGATTCATAATTTCTAAACTGTATAGTTATCAAATTATGAACATATAATTCTGTGATTTGTGAATACAGAGTTCAACAATTGGGAATATGAACATAAAAAATTATGAACATAGAGTTCTGTAATTGTGAATATAGAGTTCAATAATTATGAATATGAAGTTCAAAAATTATGAATATATAGCTTTATAATTATGAACATATAGTTCAGTAATTATTAACATAAAACAGTGTGTACCATGCACAATATAATTTATTGTTTAGATACATTATAGTGTCTGCTGTTTTGGAACATGGTCCACAAAGCTTTGTGGACCGCGTTCCACAGTATAATTGCTGATATAATTGCCACCTACTTTAGTACTAGTTTTTCACGCGCATTGCGCGATTGAGATAATGCCCAATGTTCTTTTTTTTTTTTTAAATAAGTATTTTGAAGTATATCAATGCAAGATTATATTGAAATTGTTCATGCATAGATAATTGAATGTTAAATTTGCCTATTTAAATAGGCAATTCTAAGTTTACAAATGCAAGATAATATAGTCAAGTTTGATTATAATTGTCAATAAAATAATTGTATAGGTATGGTTGAAATCAAATACGGGACATAAGGGAGAGCAAATAAAAATTAGGGCATAAAATATTAAATATATACTAATATTGAAGAGCTAACTGTTGATTGTCAAACAAGGACAGTGGGAGATAGTTTTCCACTTCAATTTATTGTGTGATTTGAATACTCTTTTTATCAATAAATCTCCCAAGTAGTTAATATGATTGGATTAATTATATTTTTATTGTATTTTTATTTTTTAAAAACAATTATTATTATTATTATTATTATTATTATTATTATTATTATTATTATTATTATTATTATTATTATTATTATTATTATTATTATTATTATTATTATTATTAAATATATGTATACCCTTAGGTCATTTTACATGTTAATCTAAACAGCTAATTTTTTCAAATATCTTTTTACCAACCGTTGATATAATTCACTGGTCAAATTCGCTAATATAATCCGCTAACGCCAACCGCTAACTGCTGATTGTCAAACAAGGACATTGCGAGGTAGTTGTCACTTCAATTTGTTGTGTGATTTGAATAGTCTCTTTGTCAACAAATCCCTCAAATAGTTAATATGATTGGCTTTATTAATTATATATATTTTTTAATTTTTTCATGGTATTATAAAATACTTGGTAAATAAATATATAGCATTATTTTGTATTATAACTTTGATATTTAATTAAAAAATAGTGCACAAAAAAGATAATAGACAATGTAGTGAATATAATCAATTGATGAATTTGAATATAAAGAATTTTTACATTGGAAAAATATAAAGACAATATAATTAATAAAATTATTTCTCTGAATTAATTTATTGATAATGCCTCATTAAGTGTGTTTGTATTAGGAGCTCAAAATCTACATGCACAACACTATACACTTATTTAAATTTTAGATTGTGTGTAATGAATTGCTTCTTCCATTGTTTGTCAGTTGGTACTTTTAGTCCTTATAATCATCATTATTCTGTTGCTTGCTTACAGAGTGTTCTACCTGGCATCCTTCAAGGTGATAAATCAGACTCCCTTTTGTATGGTTCTGTTGATAATGGGAAGAAAATATGTTGTAAGAAAGACTTTCATTCCAAGGTAGGTTTCCTTTGATGTAATTTGTGTTCCTTTTTGGTTGTGGGATTTCTATCTGCTAAGAAGCAATGCCCATCCATGGTGAAAATTGTTTCTTTTATTATGATGTATGAAAGAACCCCATCAAGCAATCAGTTTTTGTTCCAGTAATTTCATGCGATCCTTGCATTATGTACCTATTACAATTAACGCATTATGTATTTACAGTTAACAAATTATGTACCTTCTGTTTATTTACAGGTACATAATATGGTAAAGAATATCGGAAGCTACTAAAGAAGACGGTCAACAAGTCAATAAGCACAGGAGCACTACTGTAAATTAGCTTGTTTAGAAGTCTGTTATAACCGTCTTCCTTTCCCTCCTTGTATATAAGCTCGAAGTCTTCTTCTTGCTGCAGTTGTAACAAACACTTTTCCATTCAATGAGATCAGTTCCAGTTTCTTCTTCTTCCATCATGCAGATAGCACTCAGCTGACATGGTATCAGAGCTATATCGTTCCTACGCAGCTGTCGCTTCAGGCGCCGGCAACTCTAGTCAAGGAATGCAGAGCGGCACTCCAATCAACCAAACTCCAGTCACTCCGATCAATCAGACTTCGATCCAAGGAACACCGGAAGGAACTCCACAGCGGAATCTTCAGCGGCAGAGAAATCGAGACTCAGAGGAGAATCCTCTGTTCATCGGAGTCAATGATAATCCTTGCACAATCTTGGTGAGTCCTCCGTTAACTGGAAGTTCGAATTATAATACTTGGTGTATATCTATGCGCATAGCTCTCGAGGTAAAGAACAAATGGAGCCTGATAGACGGGAGCATCGCATCGCCAATAAGAGACCAACCGCAGTATAATACATGGAGACTGTGCAACCTCATTGTGTGCTCCTGGCTGTTCAAGTCTGTAGATCCGTCCATAGCTCAGTCCGTGATGCATATAGACAAAGCCAAGGACATTTGGGATGATCTCAAGAGACGTTTCTCCCAGCAAGATGCACAACGAATCTCTCTTCTGCAAGATGAGATCCATGGACTGAAACAAGGCTCTCTTTCAATCAATGAATACTACACCAAAAGTCGCACTCTATGGGAACAAATGAACACTCTCAGACCTCTCCCCATCTGTAAATGGAATCCTCGATGCGCATGTGGCCTTGTTGATGAAATCAGAAAAGAAAGGGAAACAGATCAGGTAATACGTTTCTTAAAGGGAATGAATGAAGAATACAGTAGCTTGAAGTCGAATGTCCTTGTGTTAGATCCTCTTCCTGAGGTCTACAAAATTTTTGTGATGGCTGAGAAATTAGAGATGCACATCAGCCTCAATAACCTGAGTCTAGGTAGTCTGGATGTGATCCATTCTAATGTTGTACAGAACACTGCCATTGGGAATAATAATGATGAAATTGTAACAGCTTTCAATAACCATAATGGAAAACGAAATAACATGATGAAGGCGAAATGTACATACTGTGGGATGTCAGGCCACACCGTGGATAAGTGTTATAAGAAACACGGGTATCCTCCTGGTTGGATTCAAGGATTCAAATCCAAAGGCAAGCAACAATCTAATATGAATGCAGCAGTGACAAATGATACTGAGAATCCGGGAGCAACCTCTGAGCAGCTTCAAAAAATTCTGTCCATCCTCCAGCCAAGCCAACAAGTTGGTGCTTCCAACACAACAGCTGTAGTGTCTTTGACACCGAAGTTCGATGAGAGCTCTTCAATTGAGGAAGGCAAGTCTCCTATAACACTTGTTAATTCATTTGCTTTATGTTCATCCACATGGATCCTTGATTCAGGAGCTACCAATCATATTGTATACTCTTTGGATTTTCTTGTCAATTATCAAAAGGCAAATGGTGCAAAAGTGAACTTACCTACTGGACAACGAATAGCTGTTGAGAATATAGGAGACGTGAAGCTCAGTCATAATCTGAGGCTAAGAAATGCCTTACACATCCCTACATTTCAGTTCAATATCATCTCTGTAAGCAAATTGATTCAGGACTCATCCTATAAACTAATTTTTCTGCCTGGTCAGCGCTTGATTCAGGAGAGTCTTGGCACGATAGCTGGTATAGCTAAAGAAGATAGGGGTTTATATTTGTTGGAGACCACAAGACCACCAGCTAAAGTCTCTGTTGTGCAGCAAGCCGATCCTGATGTATGGCACCAAAGGTTGGGGCATTTCCCAGTCAATAAGCTCCACCTTTTTAGCAACATTGATATCAGTCATAGTACTAGTTTAGCATGTGATGTATGCCATATGGCTAAACATAAGCCTTCCCCCTTTCCTCTGAGTGTATCATGTTCAAAAGCTTCTTTCGACTTAATACACGTTGATATATGGGGACCCTTTCCCGTTTGTTCTTTAAACGGAGAGTACTACTTCTAACTGTTGTAGATGATTTCTCAAGATATACGTGGCTGCATATGATGAAAGCAAAGTCTGAAACGAGACAATTTTTGAAGAAGTTTCACGCTTATGTTTTTACCCAGTTTGACAGGCTAATCAAAGTATTACGTAGTGATAATGGAACCGAATTCAAAATGGAAGAGTTCCTCTCAGATAATGGAATCATCCACCAAAAGTCATGCGTGAACACACCTCAGCAAAATGCCAAGGTGGAGAGGAAACACCAGCACATTCTCAGTGTTGCTCGTTCCCTCCGATTCTAAGCTCAACTCCCCTTAGAATTCTGGGGACACTGCGTAATGCATGTCGTGTTCTTGATTAATAGGCTTCCATCTCCGGTCCTTGGATGGAACAGCCCCTTCCAGAAGCTATTTGGACACATGCCAGATATCACCGGCATCAAAGTCTTCGGCTGCTTATGTTATGCGGCCACCCTACCCCATGCAAGAAACAAGATGGATCCAAGAGGAAGAAAGTGCTTGTTCCTTGGATTCCCAGCAGGCACAAAGGGGTATATACTATATGACATAAAGGATGGCACCACGTTTGTATCAAGAGACGTGAAGTTTTACGAGAAGCAGTTTCCTCTATTTGCAAAAAAGGCACCTCACCACAAGATGTCACACTGTGACCCACCCCTGCCTAATATCCCTATTTCTTTGGATGAGCAGACACCACTTGAAGCCAGTCATCACACTGATGAACCACAACCGATTGTCAGACAACAAAGCAGTAGCCCTCTTAATGAATCTAGAGGCTTGCATCCAGCAGAGGACAGAGATAGTTTAATGATGGACACCAACACTGATCAAAGCCACAATGATCAGCAAGACACACAATCTGCTACCAACGACATCATTCCTGCCATCCTTCCTAGACGATCAGAGAGGGATCGTCGACTGCCCAGCCGGCTGCAAGACTACTATTGTGACTCTATCACTCAAGAAGGTTCATCCCCTCAAACCTTGGATAGAGTAATATCATATGATAATCTCTCTTTTCCTCACAGGATATTTTTCATGGCTGTTAATAACATTGAGGAGCCACGAACTTACAATCAAGCCATGAAACACGAATTTTGGAGAAACGCCATGGCAGCCGAGATCAAAGCATTACAAGACAATAACACTTGGGAATTAAGTGATTTACCACCAGGAAAAACTCCAATCGGCTGCAAGTGGGTGTTTAAGGTGAAGCTCAAAGCTAACGGTTCTGTTGAAAGATACAAAGCTCGACTAGTAGCCAAGGGCTACAATCAACAACTTGGCATCGATTATATAGAGACATTTTCTCCCGTTGCCAGAATTACCACCATACGTGCCTTTCTTGCTGCGGCTGCCTCCAAATCTTGGCATGTTCATCAACTTGACATAAATAACGCCTTCCTACATGGTGATTTGGCTGAAGAGGTGTATATGGCTTTACCACCAGGCTTCCAAGGGAATAAGGACGGACAGGTTTGCAAGCTCCTAAGATCTCTAAACGGCCTCAAACAGGCCAGCCGCCAATGGAATGCAAAATTGAGTCAAGCACTGATTAACAAAGGCTTTGAACAGTCTAAATCAGACCCGTCGCTCTTCACAAAAGGCAAGGATGATGATTTTATTGCTACACTAGTGTATGTTGATGACATATTAGTCACCAGCCCCAGCATACATCAGATTCAAGAATTGAAGAAGTTCCTGGATTCCACCTTCAGTATCAAAGATCTGGGGAACCTGGGGTTCTTCCTGGGAATAGAAGCACACATGGATGATTCCGGGATTAACATTTGTCAACGAAAATATGCTCTTGACATATTAAAGGAATCCGGTTTCACCACCTGCAAACCGGTCAACACTCCCATGTTTCCAGGACATGCTCTAAACAAAGAAGATGGCGCAATCCTTCCTGACATTAGCAGCTTCAGACGATTGATTGGAAGGTTATTATACCTCACTGCGACGCGTCCTGACATTTCCTACGCAGTACAACAGTTGAGTCAGTACATCGATGCTCCAACAGACAAGCACATGATGGCAGCTCACCGGGTTCTCAGATATATCAAAAAAGATCCCGGGCAAGGATTATTCTATCCTAGAAACACTAACACGCAGCTCAATGTTTTTTGTGACTCTGATTGGGCAGCATGTTTGGAAACACGGAGATCTATCACAGGATTTTGCGTCTTCCTTGGATCCTCTCTTATATCCTGGAGATCGAAGAAGCAGCCCATAGTCTCCCGTTCCTCCTCCGAAGCAGAGTACAGAGCCCTGGCTGCCACTGTATGCGAAGTCATATGGATTAACTCTCTCCTTCGTGACTTGCACACCCACACCACCAAAGCCGCAGCTGTCTTCTGCGACAACAAATCCGCCATTGCCATCGCCGAGAACTATGTATTCCATGAAAGAACGAAACATATAGACATCGACTGCCACATTGTTAAGGAAAAAGTCTCTCAAGGGGTGATCAAGCTTCTCTCAGTCCCTTCACACTCCCAAGTTGCAGATGGATTCACAAAGGCACTACCCACTTCTATGTTTCGTTGGTTCATATCTAAACTGGCCATTCAAAGCCTTCATGCGCCAGTTTACGGGGGGGGGGGGGGGTGGGTATTCGGAAGCTACTAAAGAAGACGGTCAACAAGTCAATAAGCATAGAGGCACTACTGTAAATTAGCTTGTTTAGAAGTCTGTTATAACCGTCTTCCTTTCCCTCATTGTATATAAGCTCGAAGTCTTCTTCTTGCTGCAGTTGTAACAAACACTTTTCCATTCAATGAGATCAGTTCCAGTTTCTTCTTCTTCCATCGTGCAGATAGCACTCAGCTGACAAAGAAAAGCAAACAATATGTTAATTATAGCCTATATAGGTACATCATCTTGACCACATTCAACAATACGCATATTGTAATTTGATACTTGGTGAAAATATCCTTCATTAGTTGTATCCCTTCAAAAGCCTTAGTAATATTTGCTAGTCGCTCTTCCATGGATGTTGTGTTTGTTGTCAAGGCAAGGATAACAAGGAGATGAACTTTCATTGCTAGAAGGTTTCTTTGGGGAAGTTTGACTCTTGTAGCCAGTAAATCCCTTTTGAATAGAGCGAACCTCCACTGCTAATAGACTCGCCCGATTGCGAAGTTCTATGGATTTTAAATCGCTTGATCTCTAATATGAAAATGTTTAAAATAACATTTCAATAGCTTTTCAGTAAAATTTCAATATATATTTTTGAGATGTTATGTCTTGGTATAATCTCTATATTAATGGAAAAAATATTGGATAATATCAAAGCCTCCGGATCTCCAATAGAGACTTATTTTTAGGCCGGGCAATTTATATCATGCACCATGGTTCACATAGCGTTATGATCGCTGAAACGAAACGTCGAGATATAGAATTTACAAAACTAAGGTACAGAATTTCATAACACAAGACATAAAAAAAATCACAACACAAGACATATATATACATGTTTATAACTTTATATATTTATTTATTTATTCAAATATGGTTTAGGTACATAATTTGTGTTCATAGGCATAAAATTTCACAACACAAGACATAAATTCATAACATAAGACACAATTACTAATTTATTTCAGGTACATAATTCATACTCTTAGAACATAATTTCATAACACAAGATATAAAAGTCACGATATAAGATACATCAAGGTTCACAGTCCCGAATCCAAGATTCAGTAATATTTGAGAAAAGAAAAAAATTGCATTTTTAGCCAATACAATTATAATTCAACTTTATAAATTCATCAGCCTATTTACTTAGCCAAGGCAATAATAGAACCAATTGTTATATCGTGTACTAAGGTCTACAACGCCTACTCCAATACATAGAATTTATGTTCATAATGCACAGAATTCATGTTCATAATGCACAAAATTCATGTTCATAATGCACAAAATTCATGTTCATAATACATATACACATAAACCCAAACATAGAATTATGAATATGAATTTTGTGTATTATATATATAGTTGATGTTACATAAACACTTAACATACGCAGTATTTATGTTCATAATGAATATAATTCATGTTTATGATATAATAATTTGCCATAACAATCTTTTACAAAGTTTCCACCGTATACTGCGCAAAAACTAGAGAGCATTCGTAAATGAAAATTTAACGAAACAAAATCAGGTCGCTGGATTCAAAGTCCAGAGTGCTAACCACTACACCATGGAACCGCTTACATATAGGCAGTCTAAAGATAATTAATATCTGACAGATTTGCAACACATATTTCACTGTTGCTTTCTAAAGTTCGTTCTATATATTTCGAAGGATTCGTCAGTCGCAACCTGTTTTAGAGTCACATTTTAGTTTGAGTAATATTATATTGGAAAAAGGGTCAACTACAATCTAAATTTTACAACAAAAGTTAATTAAACATTTAAATTTTTAAAAATTGTAATTAAACACTTAAATATGTTATTTTTGGTTAAATAAGTTAAATTTATCAGTGCTTTATAAACAAGTCATCGGTGCTTTAAAAAAAATAAATTACCGGTAAAATTACATGATGGACTATATTTTTTGTTGTTGACCGGCGAAATCTTACTAAAAAACATCGACATCGACCAAAATGTCACCTTTTCCGGGGAGAGCAACTAGTAAAAGTCGCCTTCTCCAGGAGAAGGTGACCAGAAAGGTCGCCTTCTCTAGTATATGGCGACCGGCGCCAGATTGAAGCTTGAACTGAAATTTACCGGTTCTTTGGTTTCATTTTTTCAATTTGACATGTTAAAGAGTATAATTGCACTTTTAAAAAGTTTAAAAGTTTAATTGACTTTTCAGGTAAAGTTGGGGCTTATTTGACCTTTTTCCTATTATATTTCTATTTTTGTTTTATTTTTTGCTTTTATTGATGTTTTGTGCTTACTAATTTATTAAAAAAAAAAAAAAAAAAAAAAAAAAAAAAAAAAAGTAGGAAGTCCATGTCGAAATAGTTATTTTATATGTGAATAGCAACGGGAGATTAATTTTAAAAGAAGTTGACTTTTGTAGTTGTTTTTAGTGAATTAAGAATTATGTGAATTTAAAGGTGTTTCGAAGTTTAGAATTGTAGGGTGCGGTAGCATTCAAAAAAGAATTGTAGGGTGCGCATGAGCTCATTAGAAAATTGTAAGGAATGTAATGACCGTGTTCTTTGAACTGGGTGCTTCTGGTTTTATGTTCATTGACATTTTTTTTATATTATATTTTCTTATGTGTAGGAAAAGTATTGTAGGTGTATGTATTTCAACATC